TGTACCGTGTAATTATGATAAAGACCTTGTTTTGTACCGTGTAATTATGATAAAGACCTTGTTATGTACCGTGTAATAGCACTTTTCACGGTTAATTTTTCTCATTTACATTACAATGTAATCCAACGTGGATGCGAGGCGATTTCGGGCTAACACTACAAAATAGCCCGAAATTGCCTCACATACATGCTAGATTTTATTGTAATGCAAATGAGGAAAGGTAACCGTGAAAAGGACTATTACGATAAAGACCTTGTTATGTACCGTGTAATTATGATAAAGACCTTGTTATGTACCGTGTAATTATGATTAAGACTTTGTTATGTACCGTGTAATTATGATAAAGACCTTGTTATGTACCGTGTGATTATGATAAAGACCTTGTTTTGTGCCGTGTAATTATGATAAAGACCTTGTTATGTACCGTGTAATTATGATAAAGACCTTGTTATGTACCGTGTAATTATGATTAAGACTTTGTTATATACTGTGTAATTATGATAAAGACCTTGTTATGTACCGTGTAATTATGATAAACACCTTGTTATGTACCGTGTAATTATGATGAAGACTTTGTTATGTACCGTATGACTATGATACAGACCTTGTTATGTACTTTGTTATAGGTGTTATCATCTCCTTTCATTATGGGAGGGGACGGGAGTGTGGAGCGAAAAAGTGTTCCTAACATTAGTGTTTTCCTGGGAGTGTTCAATATTGGAACGAAGACACTTTTGCAACATAGGTGTTTACATCATTACTGTCTAAAATCTCTTGCAGGGTTGAAATTAATCAGATATCTTTACATTATAATTCATTTAATTTTCCAATTAACTAGCATATTTTGATTCATTGCAGGCAGCACTTGTAAGTGACCACTATCCCATTGAAATGCAAATTTACTCGAAGGGTAAGCATACCAAGGTCTTTGAATAAACTGATTACTTTCTGTGCATGTTCAACTTTGCTCACAGATAACAGCTGCTTTCTGGTAACTACTGAGTTAACACATCCAGTTTAACTAAAATCAACTGAGTGATGAGTTTAACATTTACGGCAGATTACCATTACATTCAAAAGAGTAGCTTGGTAACATAAGATTCTCTCAGTAATACATAGACTCTAGAACGAAAGCGATCAATTCAGAGATATTTTAGATTTATTACCTCAACTAATGTATGGCATTCAGCTGGGGTTGTGTTTTTCTCTCAAACAGACCTGGCTGGCTATTCCACGAAGACAGTTGAATACACCTTTAAAGTGAAGCAACATCCAAGCTTGAGCCGGTACAAAGTTTATGGAATGAGGAAGAGAAACTCCATTAAAGCTGCAGGAATCGCGGTAGAAACAACTTACACTTCGACAATCACCAGGGTCGCATTCAGGAAAGACTTTAAGAACTTGAAAGAAGCTATGAATGTTCTTCGTGACATAAAAGATATTTTCTTGACTGCTAATATGGTTTCTATCGATCAGATTCAAAATACAGAGTTCCACTTGAAAGGATCGTGGGAAAAGGAAAACCAGTTGTTGGTTAAGAAACCTGGAGCTGTTAAGATCGTTTGTGAAACTAACCCCATAACCACCTGCTGGATTGCTGTGTTACTGACCTGACTAACGATCAACCGAAAAACATACAGTGATGTGAAACGGAGTTTTGTTTTCCGAGTTTATCGTAAATTTGATGGTGATGTTATACAAGATGCGAAATTTATCCTTTTGCTAACAACGCAGAATAAATGAAAAGTAGTAGCAGGCCATGTTTTCTTCTGTGTTCGCTCGTTTAAACGTTTTCGATATGTTTGAATACCCAGGTATTCTAGCAAAACGTAAAGCGT